CTTTTTAGCTCTGAATTTTGTTAGTCTCTTCATGATAGAAGGTCCAAACTTCCTGTCTAGAAAGCAAGTTGGGCTACTTAAAGCTCAATCAGGCCCCTCTAGTAAAAGGATGATGAAGGTGGAGAAGAGCAACCTGTGGTGCCAAAAACAGCAGTGTACAGTGGGGTTGTGGCTATCCTGTGGAGTGTGACAGGCATTGTCATCAACTCCTTTTCTTTTCTGGAATGCCAGGTGGGAAAAGGATATTGGTAACAGTGCAGACTAGTACCAAATCCTTTAGCTTGCTGCTTGATCTAGCATGCTGAAAACTAGTGTTTCTTCCATAAGGATTGAGGAAGGTAAAAATTAATTTCTCTTTATGTAGGAGGGTGACGTTTCAATGTATCTCATAGCAAAGCCATGTGCATTTTCAGTGTCTGCTGGCTTTTCCATGGTGTTAAGCAGTGGGAAGGAAGTTCCCTTTCTCATCAGAAAGATCTAAAGCAAACTTACCAACTGTTTGGCCCATCATAATCTGGCAATTAGTTAAATTGGCTGTTCTATAGCAGGGAGTGAGAAACACCCAAAAGACAGAGTTCTGCTTGATGCAATCTTAGGAGAGTGGGAAGAAGACAGGTACCAAAAGACAGCTGTTCTTAGCCAGTACACACTGTGCCTTCATGGACTGGAGTACTAAACTGATTGTTTACCTTACTTTTCTAGGCTTCCTTGGCAGAAACAGATAAAATTACCTTGGAGGTTGCCAAGCTGATAAAAGATGACTTCTTGCAGCAGAATGGTTACACGCCTTACGACAGGTGAGATCTGACTGGCCACTCTGCCCTCTTAGTCCTGTGCAATCTGGACCAATACAGTTATTTTACATGGAAGCTGACCAGTGCAGAAATTAATGTTACTAATCCCTAAAGCTTAGGTAGCCCATTCAATAATGCTTTCACATTGTCTTACCCAAGGCAGACCCCTTCTGAAAGCAGAACTCTTTGGGTTTCCCAGGTCCTCCTCTATTGTTCTATTAGCCAATGTTTCTGCAGTAGCATGTCTGAGGAGGAGAACAGGACTTTATTTTCATAGACAACATCTAGAATCTTCCTGTTTATTCCATCAATGCACAGCGGACTGCAAGAATCACCTTTCAGTTACTATTGCATAATTCTTGAGTAAGTCTGATCTGTCAAAAAAAACCCTTACTCTCTCTTTCTCCCTAGTGAACTCTGCTGTTCTTCTTTCCATGCTATTCTTGTGCTTTAACAGCCTGACAAGAGGCCTTTTTGTACTTCATCTTACTCCCCAGCCCAGATTAGGAAGTCTCAAGTACTTCATCACTAAAAATGCAGACATCTATCATTTTGTAACAGTATGTGCCTTTGATCAGGTTATTAGGGCAGGTCTGTGTGTATGCTGTAGGAAACACAGGAAGTAGCACATAAATAATAATGAGGTACCTTTTATGGTGCTCACCTACCCATTAAAATGGAACTGTATGAAGTTCTCTTGTCATAAAGAAACTCCCTTTCCTATGAGCAAGGAAACTTGCAGAGTTGTCATCCCAGGCTGTCAGGAGGAAGCCTGCTCCCTTGATGGACAAAACAGGAAGAAGGAATTCTGTTGGCTGCTCATTGTTTTCCTTTACTTGTTAGCATTGGCACAGATTGAAATGTGAGACTTGTAGAGCAGTGGTTCCTGTTCACTCCTGTTTTGCCTGAATGTTTGGGTACTGTTTCAGAAACCTCAGCTTCAGTCAGCTTCAGGATGAATATCTTGGCCTGCAATTTGACTCTTTAAAAATGTGGGACCTATTTGAGGCAGCCCCTCTCCTTTGGCAGTATACATTAAAGATCTCTGGAGTAAAGCAGGCTGGCGCTCTTTCTGTCAGGGGAGAATGCTGTTAACTGTTCCAAGATGCCTGACAGGTCCTCTTCTATTCCTTCAGGTTCTGCCCTTTCTATAAAACAGTGGGAATGCTTTCCAACATGATTGCATTTTATGATATGGCACGCCGTGCTGTAGAAACCACAGCTCAGAGTGACAATAAGATCACGTGGTCCATCATCCGAGAGAACATGAGTGAAATCCTCTACAGACTTACCTCCATGAAGTTCAAGGTATGTTTGTAAGGAAGTGGGTTGTCCTGCTTCCTGTGAGCTTCCAGGGCCTCTGAAAGACCAACAGTGGTGTTGACCAAAGACCTTTGATAAAGGTCTGAACAGAGATTCTTTGCCATCATTTTGAAGACAGTAAAGAATTGGTTTGTGAGCACAGGAATGGTCAGTGTGGAAATCAGGTGATGCTGACTGCACAGCCTTGGCAACCCCACCTTCAGCACCTTCGACATCTCTTTTCTGTTACATATAGTCATGGTAACAGTATCTTCTCCTATTTGCTTTGGGGGTTTTGTGATAAAATTCTGTAAAAAGATTATAACATGTTCTAGGGAGACTATTACCAGAGAGAAGCAGCCTGAAGCCAAACATGGGCCACATCATATATTATTGCAGGAGCGTTTCTTTCCTTAACTTCTATTTAAAATAGCTCAGTTAACATTTCCATTGTTCAGTTTTTCCTGGCTTTAAACTTCAGGCTGCTTATACCTGTCTCTAATATAAAAGAGACTGCTGAAAGTGGGGAGAGGAAGGGAGGAGTAATTTCAGCATGGGCTTAAGACAAAACAAGTGGATTGGGGCACCTGCTCTGGTTAAGTTTAGTAGCCATCATTTTAGGATACAGCTTTACTAAAACTCATCCAGAGCATGCTGGTGTAGCAGTTACTGGTAGGACAGTAGTAACCTGTGATGCTGACTGAAATATATGAAATATAATGCTTACTCTGTTAAAACTCATGTAAGTCAATACTGCAAATCTTTGGAGAACAAGTAGCATTGGATTAAATGTGTTTAGAATTATTTGAGAGCTGCTTATGTAGAGACAGGATAATTAAAACACTCCCTACAAACCCTGGCCCACCAGCAGGCATCTGCAGTACAGCAGAGCAGTGGACAGCATGGCTGAAAAAGGGAATAGTTATGAAAGGAAAATTATATTCCCCAGGTAACAGTGTGACAGGTGTGAGGATTCAGATGTCCTGCATCCTATAGTTTGGGTACTTGGGAGAGACGATGTAAGAACTACTGCATCCACACATGTAAGGCCTCTGTGTTCACCAAGAATTGCACTGACCCAGAGGATCTCAGCACTCAGAGGAGAATGGTGAAGACATTGAACAGATTTCACAGCCTGACAGTTAATGCTTCTTGCAGAGAAAGCCTTACAGCCCGAGGGCAAAGTATTCTGAGAAAATGGAGCTGTACAAAGATATTTTTATGGTTACACAATATTATTGTGAATTAAAATTAATTACAATTCATTTTAATTTGAACCAAACAACCTCTCAGTAATGGCAGAGTAACTCTTCCACTTACTGGGGAAGCAGTGCATCTGGTGTGGGGCTAGGAGCTGGTATTAATCACTGCAGCTCTTAAATCACACAGCAGTAACCACGACCCTCAGTATTTTTCTTTGCTTTCCAAATCGGTTGCTTTTCAGTACAGTAACCACTGCTCATGGAAAAAAAAAAATCATCTCTTTCCAGTACCCATTCTGCCTGCTCACTAATGTGGGAACAGAATGAGATTTAAACCCTGTGGCTGTTGGTGAGACAGGATGCAAGGACAGAACTACACTGCCTGCTCTGCAGTTGGCAAGTGTTAATCCCGAGGTCAAGAGGTTACAGCAGTGGCAAACCAGAGCTGACTTAAGTACCATGGGTTTTTCCTAATGGGTCTGTTTGCTTGCTGTGTTCTCTCAGGACCCCGTCAAAGATGGTGAAACAAAAATCAAGGCGGACTATGCTCAGCTGTTTGAGGATATGCAGAACGCATTTCGCAGTCTGGAAGACTAGACTCGACCTCTGTGACCACTCCAGTTTGTCCTCTCAGTTCCTCATCTCAGCTCCTCTGCTTCCCTACCTTACAAGAATGATGCAACAGTACTTGAGTTGATAAATAACCGTATGTTTCCCCTGTTCATACTCAGAGAGAGTCTTTACAAAAAACATTCCTCTTAGTTTGTATTTGGCATTGCTTTGTGCGTCTGAAGTGGTGAGTGATGTGTGAATGGGCCTGGCTGAGTGAGGAAATGCTGTTGTACACTTCTAGGGTGGGAAAAATTTCACCTTTCCTCTCCCAGCTCTCCTGGTAACCAGTCTTTCACCTCAGGGTGTAACCAGTTGAGCTGCACTGGCAGAGGAGGTGTAGGTCTTCATGCAGTCATGCGGTACATTGCGAGCTGGCAGTGGGAAGGGCATTTACACCTGGCATTTTGCTAAGTGACTATCAGACGTCGAACTCCCTGTTCTCAAACAGAATTTTTGACCATATTCTGATGACATGTTGATACAACCAAAAATTCTTCACTACTCTGTCATTTCTGAGTCTCTCAGCTGAGTCTTTTGGTATTGAAATGTGGTAGTTCTGGTCCTCTCCAAGAAGGGACTGACTAGAAGGTGAGCATATACAAGCGACTGGTATAATTTTGTACACTGGAGAAATACTATTTTATCTTCCTACTTAATACAGATAGGACTGTTGGACTCAGCATCAGCTAAAATCAAAGCCATAGGTGCTCGGCTTCCAGCAGAATTTTACCTTCTTGGCTCCCATTCATCCCGTAAAATTTCCTGACACTCAGCTGCTTTACTTTGTGAAGCTTGTGACTGCCGCCATGTACTGCAGGGCATGGTTGGCAAGGTACAGTGATGCCACACGTGCTGACCACAGCGTGGTCCTTCCTTGGCGGTGCTCTGCCAGTGCAGTTGCCCCCAGTGCAATGCCCAGGTTATGCCAAGGAAAGCAAAGCGCGTGCTTAGCCTTCTTCCTCCACCTGTGCTCACATGGCCTGTTGGGTGATGGCACAGAAGGCCCCCGGTTCTGGTGTAAGAGGAATGTATGATGCTCAGCTGGGGGCGGGGGATGCATGGGGGAAGGTTGACAAGTACAAAATGTATCTACTCCTGCCTTGTTGATTACGATGCAAGAGAAACCAGTGGCTCTGGTGTTCTGCTCTGTGCTCTGGAAGCACTCTGTCAAGCAGCTGAAACTGCTGTCTCTTGGGCTTTTTTATTGGTAAAACTAGACTGAGATGAGGAATGAGCAGAGTGCAGCCTTTCTGTCAAACTCCCCGAGACCAGCACTCATCCCATTGCTCCGGAGCGCAAGAGAGAGAGATGCTGGCATCCTCTCCAGTCTCTCCCTCTCGATTGTGTCTGGTGGCATCCTGTGCCACCTACTGCTTTGTTAGTCCTGAGACAGCACCTGTTGTTGGTGACACCGTGCCTACGTGAGCGTTAATTCTGCACTGAAGTATTTCCACCGGCGCCAGCTTTGAACAGTAGTGATGCAAAGGGATCTTGTGCTACGGACCAAATGCTGCCACTTCCATTATGGTATCAACCCACTCTTTGTCGGGGAGAGCCCAGCTGAAACTTAGAGGGATTGACTATTTTTGGTTCTCCCGAAAAGAAACTGCTCCTCCAGCTGATATTCTGGTAGTGAACGCTTAAGTTTACAGCTCACTAAACTTTTGGTGTATGCTGCTTATTTTATCAATGAGCATGTGTGAATGAGTAGTCACCATCCAAGCCCTTGCTGGGCTCATTGTTTGTACCCTTCACCACTGTACAATGTAGCATTTCATGCTAGAAACCAGATGTTCTTATCTCTTTAAATAGAGGATGTTATAAACTTTACAGAAGATGTCTAAGATAATGCAGTTCTAATATTTATTGTGCTGTACCTGGCCCTGAAGTGTGACCAGTTCAAAGTTTCATATATATTTTTGTCCTTTTTGTTTTGTGTCTGTTTTCAGTGTTGAGATTCTGATGTTCACTGTGTCCTGCAAGTCTTCCTTCCACAGCTATGGGAGGAATTACAACATGGGCAGAACCCCACCACCTACTTTATCTTGTATATTTCATAATGTATGTTGCTGGAAATTGTGTAAAAAAATAAATTAAAAAAAATTGTTCAAGTCAATGAAAATAAAATTGATTTAAATTAGCTTTTATCTGTTCTATTTTCTTATGTCAAATGAAACCTGTGCCACGGTGTACACAGCAATCCATCAAAAAAGGTCACAGCTTGCTTAAAAAAAGTTACTTCATAACTTTAGGGATTTCTTTAGAACTGTAAGCTTTTGGCATGGACTCTATACTTCAGTTCTCCCATTCCATTACAGCTTGCACAATCATGAAAGAGTTACAAAGTAGTAAATATTCTTGGGGTGGGTATTTTTAGGATTACTTTTAATACAATAAAAGTGTAACTCTTAAGTTTTCCTTTTGCTGCCATGCATGCAAAACAACTGTAATTGTACCATTTTAGGGCGCTTGGCACTTTGGATCAGAAGCTGAGCAGTACTGCTGACCACAGCAACTCCTTTTGAATAAGGAGTTGAGACCCTGTGTAAACAGCAACACATAAATGAAGAATACATTTTGCCCATTTTGTAGATTTGACCACTCTGTAACACCTCTTTGAAGAAAATGTTCTGATATTTCATAGAATATATTAAGAGATACAGCAGGCTGAAGGTATTCAAGTAATTCTGCCACCTCCCAAAGGGGTGGAAGTCATAAGCTCATTTCCTGGCATCCATGGACTAGTAGTTCTCAGTAGATGTTAAGAAATCCATCAAGTGAAGCAATGAGTTCAGGTTTTGGCACTTTGGAAGTTACCAACTGGCAGTGTCCTCACTTCATCCACTCGACTTTTGTGGATCTGGAAGGCCGGTGTCACCCAGCGGCCACAGGAACACTGGTCCCCCCTCCAGCTGAAGGAGCCCAGCTTTGACGTGCACTTGGGACACAGAAGCTGCAAGAAAAACCCAGGACTCAGTCTAAGACATGTGTTCATGAGGATCTAGTTAAAAACAGGCCAAAAAGCTAAACTGGAAGGGCTCTTTAGCCCTGGGGTGTAGCAGGCAGCTGTGCTGGCAGAAGGAGAGTGTGGAAATGCAGCTGCTGGAACCTGATGGGATTCCAAAACAGTTTTAGCAGGGTCCAAAAGACTTGATCAGCCTGAGACCACAACAGGCTTCTGAAGTCTCACAAATCTTTCTCATAATAGAAACAAACAGCAGATAAACCCTGTCCAACATCCTGGCTGGTGTTGCCAGCTCAAGCAAAGCACCAGCTCATTTCCTTGTGAAAGAATATTTTACATTTAAGAATCTGCCCATAAGCTGCAAAATTCACGCCAGAAAGGCTGGGAACACCTTGTGTGGGAGTTTTCCTTTCAGGGAACAAAGTTCTGCCTTTGCAAAAAAAAAACCAAAACAACAAACCCAACCAAAAATCCAAAGAATAAAGCTTCACCTGTCCTTCCATGACTCCAAGCAATGCTGGTTCCATCCACTGCACGGGCTCGATGAAGTACGAGGTGCACTTTTCCTGGCCATTCCCAGAAAGCCGTGCAGAGTCTGTTATCCTCTTGTGGGCAAAGGCTGTCGGTCCGATTCCTTCCGTGTGGGACAAAATGCTGGAGCTACGGAACAGAGCTTTTTTTTTTTTTTTAACTGAGCAAGTCTGCAGACAGCAGGAAAGAGGGATATGGGTGTCCTGACTCTAAATAAAGAGGAGTACAAATCCTACATTCTTTGATTCGTCTAGAAGGTTCACAAGCACCACTCCAGGGAAGAAGAAGTTTTGTGTGGACACTTAGGCAAGAGCTCATCCCCAACCTGACAACAATGACACATGCCCATTGATTTCCACTGGATATTATTCTCTTGAGTGGATTTCACAATGACGTTTTAAGGAGAAATTTAAAGTATTTTATAAATATATAAATATGCATATTTTTAATATATATATAAAGTACCTGCATTTCCTGCATCTGTAGAGAACCTCTGTGTTCAAAGTTTGGCATACAGTGGTAGGATCAACTGCAAAGACTTCTCGGGGCAAGTCTTGAGGTTCTGCATAGGGGTCAGGACCACGTTGTGAATCAGATCAGCTCAACCACGCTGCATTCCTGAGAGCAAGACAGAACTGCGCCTCTGGCCCAAGCACAGCCTGCAGGAGCCACCTTCTTTCCCTTCATTTGTTCTCTCACCAGTTCCAATAGATTAAGCCAAAAACACGAAGGCCTCATCCTGCCATGCCTAAGACTGGGATTTGCTTAATGCAAGGAACTGGGATCTAAACTATGGCCTCAGACATGGTAAAATAATGAAATTTTGCTTTATGTTCTTACTTCAGCAGAAAATAAAGGCAAAGGAGGTTTCTGAGCAGTTGTGCCAATATTTTAGTGCCCAAAATACAGAAAGCCAGCTTGCAAATGGGAACTGCTAAGGTCAATGACACATAAAGGGCAACAGCACTGTGACGCTGAGTATGCAACACTGAGATCTTGCAAGAAAAGCTACAGGTTATTATTTTATTATAAAATTACACCGATGCAGACATGTATCTTTTGCACATTAAAGTATGAAAGTTTACTTCATTACCTGAATTTCAACTTTATCTCAAGTTTTGCATTTCTTTTTGTTTAATCACATTGACATGTTTTCTTAGGATGCTGTTTGCTTTGCAGGGATGTAAAAATCACGAGAAGTATCAAACTGACCTTTACCATTTTTCGCACTTTGCTAAAGAGCGCAGCTCCTTACAGATCTTATTTCCTACACATCTCTCAAAGGCACATTTTTACCCCCACTGATGAGCTGGGATTCTCTAGGGCTGGTATAGCGTGAATGCTAGCCCTGGCAAAGTCCAGGCTCGGCTCCTTTGAGGGCAACACTCGAAGTCAACCCCCTTGGACAGGGCCTTCTGCGTTCATTCAGGGACAGCCTGTTCCCATCCTTGGGAGCCTGCCCCGCGCTTCGCTCCGCGCACCCGCGATGCTCCCACTCACCGGAGAGCCTCTCGCTGAGCATCTCCAGCCGGTACCGCTTGTAGAGCACGCTGCTGGTGTCCACGGCGCAGCCCATCGCCTCGTAGAGCTTCAGCTGCCGCTGGAAGCCCGGGTTCACCCTGCGGTGGGGGCGAGAGGAGAGAGGGCTCAGGGGGACGGGATGAGGGGAGCAGGATGAAGAGAGCGGGATGAGGGGAGTGGGATGAAGGGAGCGGGATGAGGGGGCGGGATGAGGGGAGCGGGCTGAGGAGGGCGGGATCAAGGGTGCGGGATGAGGGGTGCGGGATGAGGGGAGCGGGCTGAGGGGAGCGGGATGAAGGGAGCGGGATGAGGGGGGCGGGATGAGGGGAGCGGGATGAAGGGAGTGGGCTGAAG